ATTGTTCCCTGGGAATTCTTGAAGAACAACCACAATTACATCCCTTTTCTAAAAAATCAATTGCTTTTTGATATTCATTAGAACCATTGCATTTATTAACTTTGTTAATATTTTTCATATACACTTATCACTATATATGTAATTTTATGTTCACTTTGTAGTTTTCTTTGATTATTTAAAATTAAAGGTTTTAAGATTGGATGGAATAGAATTAAATTGTGAATTTGTAATAAAAATTGAAAATAATTTAAGTATATACCTGATAATTGATTTAAATATGATTATTGAGTAATTTGTGAAGAGAAATCTCCAAGAAACTTGGCCAACTGACACCATTATTGATGGCGATCAATTTAAATCTAGACAATAATTATTTTTCATCAAAATAAGACAAATTGGTAACTTCATTAGATGAGAGAAAGAGAAGGAGGGAGACAAATCAAAGCAACAAAATATTTAAAAAGACAAAAAATTAATAAGTATAAATATTTCTATTCCTCTCCTGATTATTTTTTCTCGTTCTTTTTTTTTCTTGTTTATGAATTGATGCCATATTTTCTTTTTTTTCTTTTAAGAAAATTATGTATGAAACAAAAATAAAAAAAATGATTGATATGAATTTTGGTAAAAAAAAGAAAAAAAAGAAAAAAACACTTTCTTTTATACAATTACTTTGCACAAGAAAATCTTTTTGAAGATTGACAGTTGAAACTTGGAGATATGCAACATATATTACAAATACAATCATGTGTGTGTTTTAAATCGATATAATAGTTATATATATACTTTAGAGGTAAAAGATGGGGTTCGGAAAAAATTAGTGATCATGAGATAAATATATTTTTTTTATTTTAATATTAACAAATTTGTGGTTGATTAAATGCAGTTGTTATATATAATTGTTGGTAACCTTGATGGTGTTGGTAATATGAAGCATTAATTGCTTCATCAATAACATTGTTATTAATATTAATTGATAATAATAAACAAGATTAATTTTAATAAAATATTTTTCAACAATTGTAGTATTGAGGAGAATTTGAAGGAGAAGGTTGTGTTGTCCTTAAGCTAGAATGATGGAAATCTTGCAATTTTTGTAATGATTTTCTTGATGTTTTCATTTTACATCTTTCTTCAAATTCAATAGCTTTTTCATACATTTTATTGACTGCATACTATTTTAAAAATATTTGAAAAATATTAATACCATATTATATTTATCATTTTAAATAAAGTTGAAATTATTTACTTACTATTAAATGGTTTAAGCATGTGTAATAGCCAATAACTTCACATTTTACAGGTATTTGTACATTGGCTAAACGCCTAACTCTGTACTAAGATTGTGGGTGAAACCTCCTTAGTAATTGCTGAAACCACAGCAAAACTATATTAAATCTTATCAAAAATCCTGTTGAAACTATGCCAAAATGGTGAAACCTCAAAACGCGAAACTCTGCTGAAACTCTAATAAACAATTAATTTGTAACCTGCTGAAACCCTGCTGATTGATTTCTGGATGAGTTTTGGCAAGCAACCTTACTCTGTACACACCATAGCCTGGCTGCTCAAGGGCATATATGATCATGTTAAATCCCAGTATTTATAAAGTAAATTAATAAATAACAATTAGGCTGTTTGTACTGTTTTTTATGTTCTTGCATTTTCCCTTCCATCCTTTAGAAGATGTCAAAAAGTATATTTTTTTTTTATCCAAAAGAGAAGATAAATACCATATAATTGAGCTCCATAAAAGGCACCATATTTGTTAATAAAATATTCTTGGATTAAATCATAAACATCTTTCATGTCTCTATATATTTTTTTTCTATCTCCTGATGTCTTTTGTGTTGTTTCATTATTGGGTGCATGAGTAATCAGAGGTTAGATTAAAGGATGATGCCCTAATAATCAACTTATTCTCATCTAGTGAAACACTTTGATCCTTTCTTATGAAAAGTAAAGTGGTTGAAGTTACTAATGTGTTTTCATGAACATTCATCAAATATTCAATCTTCTACTAATTAGCAC